AAAAAAAAAAAAAAAAAAAAAAAACTAAACTTGACAATCATTATTTTCCGGCCATAGAAAGAAGGTCTTCTCTATACGGTTCATCTACATGGTAAGGTGATAAAGATGGACAATGTTGTGCATTATGACACACCTAGAAATGCTTTGATACCACTCATTATGCCACAACTAGAAATGCTTGGATACTCCTTGTTATGCTGTAATACTATAACTTTCAATGTTCTGATACCACTTGTTGTATTCAAATGTCATAATCAAAATGCTCTGGTACCCAATTTTTGTAGCTTAATGCCACAATAAAAAATACTATGATACTCAATTGTTGTAGCGGAAGTGGAAGCGGAAGCAAAATCGATCGCACTCGCACACCTACAAATAGAAATTAAACAAAAAGACAAAAATTTAAGTGGTTCGAAGAGAAGAAATTCCTTTACATCCATTGGTGATAGCCAATTACTATAACCAAAATGTTTACAAGTGTATCTCTCCCACTCTTACACTACAAAGTGTCTCAACAAAATTCCTTCCAATGTCACTAGACAAATACAAAATGACAATAACTTCACATCTAACCCAAATGTCACTAGACAAATACAAAAGGACAATAACTCTATATCTCAAAACAATGATAGACAAGCCTTTATATACGCATGACAATACTAATTCTCATCCATGAACCAAATAAATGAGAACACGAAACAAAATGGTTATGAAGTAAATGAGAGTTAATAATTAAAATAAATGAGAATATGAACCATCTAAGGTTATGAATTAAATGAGAGTTATAACAATACATCTTCATGACAACTTACCATAGACAGTATATTCCATTTATTACAAATTAAACGAGTCAATGTTCATTGTTTACCAAGAAATTTAAATAAGTTTAAATGACTACTAACCATTAAAAGATTGAACTTTTTGAGAGAGATCAATATGAATTATGAATAAGTGAGTTCTTGTTATCTTTATCACCTAGAATTTTGATCATGTCAACGGTGGTTAGAAGAATAAGTTAAGAGTAAAATTAGCTATTTAGTTTAACTAATGTGTCATATTTTTGGTTAGTTTCTAAGTCAAGTTTAGTACTCAAAATAATATTTGAAGCTCCAATTGTTTATGTTTCTGGCTTAGTCATTAGTCTGTCAAAACCTAGGTATCAAAGTCACTGCTAGGCTTTGTAAAGTAGCCATTTTTTAGAGATCAAATATAGAGAATATGAGTGAAGACAAAACTTTAAAGAAGATCCCTCACTTTGATGGTCACTATGATCACTGGAGTGAGTTGATGGAAAATTTGCTCAGAACAAAGGGTCTATCACTTTGATGGTCACTATGATCACTGGAGTGAGTTGATGGAAAATTTGCTTAGAGCAAAGGGTTTATGGAGTGTGGTAGAGATTGGTTTCTCATAACCAGAGAAAGAAAAAATATTGACTGAGGCACAAAAGGGCCACCTTGATGATGGTAGGCTCAAAGATCACCAAGTAAAGCATTACCTCTTTCAGGCAATTGATCGTATTGTTTTTGAACAAATTTTGAATCGTCGCACAATCAAGATTGTCTGGGACTCAATGAAGCAAAAGTTTGGTGGAAACCAAAAAGTGAAGAAATAAGCAAAAGTTTGGTGGAAACCAAAAAGTGAAGAAATTTCTTCTTATTGATCAAGGAGAGAATTTGAGATCCTAGAGATGAAGAAGGAGGAAAGCATCACAATAATCTCCAACAAGATAACAAGTAAGGGAGAAGAATTAGTTAATTGAATCTTTTTTATGCCATCTAAATTTACAGAATGGGTAGAAGAATGGGAGAGCTTTGAGTCATGTTTAGGAGCAAGATTGGTTGGCCACTTCAACCATTTTTAACATGTAATTTGTATTAAATAGTCCAATCAAATGAGAAACATTAGTAGCACCGTCTTTCAAGAACAACAAATCCCAAATCTTTAGTTCTCTCTTCCTTATGTTATTTTTGGCTTTTTGTTTTTTTTTTTTTTTCTTCTTCCAACAATCTTCTTCGCTGGTTTTTTCCGTCCAATGATTTCCTCTTACCAGTAGCTCAGTCAAAAGACATCATCCAACATTAATGGAGAGAAGCAAGTTCTAAAAGTCAAAGGTCGAACAAAAATAAGTAACAAAGGAAGAGGAACTTACCGGGCAGAGTTCGCACAAGAGGAAGATCAACTTTCAACAAAACAGCTGTTGAAAGTGATAGGTGTCATGACTTAGGTCATTTTTAATATGAATGCCCAAAGATGAATAAGGAATTGAATTATGCACCCCTAGAAGAACAGTATGAAATGTTGTTAAGTGATGCTTGGTTCTTAGATTCTAGTTGCAACCATTTACACTTTTCCACACTTTCAAGCTTGAAAATAATACAAGTACGAAAGTTAGTGGAAAGGGTGCATTGAAATTAACTTTGTGTGGGGTTTGTTACACTATTAGTAATGTGTATTGGGTACCTAAACTCAAAAATAATCTTTTGAGCTTTGGACAACTACAAGAAAAAGGAGTAGAAGTGCGGTTCAAGGTGATGTAGCATTTATCATCCACATAAAGGAAAAATGGCAGGATCAATTATGAGTGCAAATCGGTTGTTCATTTTGCTTGCTGAACCATCTGCCACAACAAATGAAGGAAGATGTCTCCAAGTTTCAAACATAGATCAGTCAACATTTTGGCACCATTGTTATGGTCATCTCGGCTACAAAGCCTTGTGCACCTTGAAACACAAAAACATGGTGAAAGGTCTGCCTCGAATTGTAGCTCCAAACACCACATGTGAGGCATTGTGCACCTTGAAACACAAAAACATGGTGAAAGGTCTGCCTCAAATTGTAGCTTCAAACACCACATGTGAGGCATGTATGAAAGACAAACAATATCAGATTCCATTTCCAAAAGTGGGTAAATAGAGAGCAACTAAAAAATTGGGCCTTGTTCATGCAGTTATATGTGGTCCTATTAGATGATTTCTGAAGGAAGGCATGTAGTTATTTTCTTGTAGAATAATCAGAAACATTTTATCATAATGGAAGAGAAAATTGTAATGCCTATAAAATGATTAAGAACAGATAGAGGAGGAGAATTCAACTCTCCAGAATTCATCGATTTTTGCAAACAACTTGGAATGAAGAGACAATTGACCACCGCCTATACCCTGCAGCAAAATGGAGTGGCCGAACTCAAAAATCGCACCTTGATGAACTTGGTAAGAGCTATGCTGACAGAGAAGAAAGTGCCTAAAAATGTCTGACTTGAAGCAATCAGGTGGACGATTCACATTTTGAATTGATCACCCACTCTTGCAGTAAAAGACATGACACCATAAGAGGCTTGGAGCGGAGAGAAACCATCCGTAGATTATTTTAGAGCTTTTGGATGTGTGGGACATGTTCATATTCCAGATGCCTAGAGAAGCAAACTTGAACATAAAAGTGTAACATGTATTTT